CTCTCTCTACCCCTCTTTCTCCCTGCCCTCTCTCCTCCCCCTTCTTCTGCCCCCCTCTCTCTTTTCAGGTCAAAAGTGAAAATTTGGGACATAAGGAGAAGCCAGACCACTATACAGTAAAGGGTATACTCTCCGAGATAAAAAAGAACAGCTGCGTGTACAAAGCATGCCCTAAGTGTAAGAAAAAGCTAAATGAGCAGGAAAACGGCCGGTACCACTGTGAGAAATGCGACAAGAAGTATTCTGACTACAAGTGGAATATGATCCTAACTGCTGTCGTCACTGACCACTCAGGCGAAGAAACGATCACCTGCTTCCAGAAGGCAGCTGAACGCATTCTTTCCATCAAAGCCGACGAGTTGGGAGATTTGTTGGACCATGACGAAAGACGCTATCATCAGATTGTGACAGAAGCTGAGTCCAAGCAGCACTTCTTCCAAATGCGTGTTCAACCTAATACGTCTTACAAAGAGAACGCTGTGAAAACCAGTTGTGTTTCGGCTGATCCCGTTAACTGGCAGGAATATGGCAAACATCTCGCCGGGCAGCTTGAGCTCTGGGTTTGTTAAAGAATTAATGTGTGAGTCATGGTTGTGAAATCAGGCACTCGTCAAAATAGTGAAATCGAAGAAACAGACATTTTTATGCCAGTTTGGCAATTTTTATCAAATTTTGGGTTTTGGCGTACACCTTTTATGTTTATGTAAAAATACATTTGCATGTGAATTTTTACTGAAAAACGTTGATCAAAGGCACACAATATGTAATTCTTCAGTTTTCAAGGACTCTCAAGCAATTCAAGTTACCAAATTATTGTGGCGGTCGTTTTCTCGCTAGTTTTGCCGCTGAAACCAGGCGACCCCACCTCCTTCAATCGCAAATATCTCGACTTCTATTCAAGATAGATGGGTATTTTTAAAAATGTAAAGCAGTGCTAATAAATAAGTTTTCAGTTTTTGAAGTCTACTTGCTTCCAAAAAAAATTGGCAAGCGCCTAATTCCACCGCATCGTGATACATTTCAGTCAACAATCAATATAGCGTAATGATTGTTGTGGAAGCCGCAGTGGCTGACAGCCTTTTCTCTAAGTTATGTCAAATGTTTTATTCTTCTAATTGTATTGTCATTTGATTGTAACATAATTTTTGGGGGAAACAATTTCTAAGGATTGCATTCTACAATAATTGCTTCTGTGCACGCATTGCCAGGCTCAGTGCCGGACTAATTTTTTCATATAGATTTTTAATACATAAGTTGTTTGTTCTGAACACTTTCAATGAACCGGATTGCTAGTTGCTGGATGCTGGAGAGGTTTTCTCGTTTAACCTCTTGTTTACATCCTCTATAGATGATGGTAGCTGTGGGAGGGGGTGGTTGGGGGGGGGGGAGGAGGTCATCTCCAATTTTATATTTTGTAGGGTCTTATGTTTTAGGAAGAGAGTGGATAAAATGTAAGATGTTTTTTCCAGTTTCGGTAAGAATTTACGGTACTTGCAACACAATAAGGTCATAATGTAAGAGCCGAAGATTAGAGATGTTACCACAGAGTAACAAACACAAAAAGAAGGAGGAGGGATAATATGGACAATAGGTGTTTACTAGGAAAGAAGGGACAAACCACACTAGAACATCCAGATAATAAAATGAGATAAACCAAGCTTTTCTGATTCTCCTCAGGAAGAGATTTACAATGTGTCAGCTTCTGGGACACAGGGTATCCCTACATATGTACACATAGCATTAAATAAATACACCACCCCACCCCACCCCCTCTGTCTGTCTTTCTGTCTGTTTGTCTGTCTGACTGTCAGTCTGTCTCTCTCTCTGTCTCTCTGTCTCTGTCTCTCTCTCTCTCTGTCTCTCTCTCTCCCTCTCTCTCTCTCTCACTCTCTCTCTC